CACTTTTCCATATCTTCGACATAACAAGTTTTCATAAGAAAAAGTTGCTTTAGCTGTTTAATGATAGTAGAAGGCTCGATCTCAAGCTGATAAGTCCGTCCCAATCCAGTCATTGTTTGAATGTATATTTTCATCGCGATTCTCGAAAAAAGACAATTTGTGAAGTATATCATTTTCAATGTTTGAGCATTTATTTTCTCGTTTAATAAAACATTTTAGTCACTATCTTAGTATTGATTCTCTCAAAATTACAGAAAATTTGTTTTGAAACTCTCCAATTTTTGAACAAATTCATCAATTACTCTGAATGAAGCTGCTATGATCGAAAGTCAACTTACTTTTTTGAATTCAGATTGTTTGAACAATTTTTATTCGTTCGTTGGATGTTACAAAGGTAAATATTAATCTAAAATCAGAATAATTTAAAACACAGTCGTTGCTAAGTTTTTATATTTGTATGAGAGTTCTTTTAGAGAGTATCATTTAGAAAAAAATTCGAAGAGATTTTTATTTACTTCAACGTTTCTAAACCATGTAGAATACGTTTTTATATCTTCTTCATCAAAAATATAAGATTATCATTGATCATTACTGTAATGGTTCGTACTTAGAGGATTGAATTCTTCGAGGAATGGTCGAATCATGACTATTGATAGTTATTGGAGAAAAATTGTATCTTATCTGGAATGATTCAGTATATTTTACTGATAATATTGAGTGTTTTACGTTTGTTTTGAAAGAATTTATTTCTTTTCTTTTCTTTCCTCGTCTACATTGGACTATTGCACGATCAATATATGGTCGCTGTTAATACCACTATCGAATAGAGAGTTGCAATGAGTTCAGAAAACTTTTCTGGACACAACTGAAAAATTATGAGCCATTTCATCATATGTAATATTGATGCATTATTTGGCTGTGTATGTTGTAAAGAACTGTTTGCTCTTTCAATACGTATGCTCATAAATAGATATTACTCTTTTGTGGTCAAATTATTCAGCTAAATAAAAACGGGTCCAGACTTAGATCCTATTAGAGCGGAAAAATCTGTTACATCAAGACCCCACATCCACATCGAGAAGCGAACCGAAGACGACTTCTTAAAATTACTTCCAATCGACACTGTGAAAAAACAATGTAGGTATCGTCAGAGAGATGACAAAATTTTTCAAAATTTTGTGAGAAATGTTGATTTTTTCAGTCGTAAGATGAAAGTTTACAGTATATAGAGTTGTGCTATTTTCTCATGTAAATCCTGACGATGTGGCTTGTTTAATCTCAAGAATCAAAAAGTCGAAATTTCTCAAAACAAATTTAAAGATTTTGACATGTATCTGATGATTTAATGGCTCCTATATCACATAGTGCTTTGGGAATCAAGCAGAAATCGCGATTTTTCTATATTTTTACTACTGGAAACCATCGAACTCTACTTGTTTTCTTTTGTGTTGTTTACAGATCTAAAAGTCATATTATGACTTCAGGATATGGGTGTACATGAGTGTGATGCTCTTCTTTGCATCCACACTCAAGTCAACACCTACTCTGTTCGACTTTCACACAGCCATATCCGTAGAATTCAAGAAGTACTGACAATGAAAATAAATTGTAAAAGAACAACGAAGAGTATATACAAGGTTAAATACACTATGTAAAAGAAATAATAATTATAATTTGATGCGTCGATTTATATAATATGCTGAGTCATCGAGATTTACACGATTGAATTTTTTTTGTGTTTATATTTTGAAAAAAACTGTTAAGATTCACAAATGAATTTTGCCCATTAAAAGACAGAAATGAAAAAAAAAAGTCATTTGAATGTAACTTGAAATTCGATGTTGTGTGGTGCATCATGTAATTCATTCTGTATTTCCGTTATCTTCTGTGGTATTTGTTCGTCTGATAGTATCATTCCAAACACTTCTAGTGTTACGTTCTTCAATAGATGACAATCATTTATCAATCTTCTCCATTCATTTAAATCTAATAATTTCAAGACATTGTTACCATTAGTAATCAGTTCAATGTATCGAATATTGCACATATATTTGATAAAATCAATTATTGTCATTAAGAAACATGAATGGTGTTGCTGCAAGCAATCACTCATTGAAGGTAACGGAAATTTACCCACATCGAGAAGAAAATATTCAATTGTAAACTGCTTATTATCAGTCATATAGAAATTGTGTATATCAGAGTGATTGCAAAGTGCTCCCGCACAATGAATTTCTAATCTTTTAATTGAAATTTGAAGATTTTCGAAGATAATACTCAAAAAGCTAAAACTAACTTCATTATCATACCAAAGAGAAAGATGAGCCAATTTTGGAAAACATTTTGCGTAATTTTTGATTGAATCTATTTGTTGATAGTTGATAAGAGTCAATGCGATGACATTGGAAAACGTACTTAATAGATTTAATTCTGAGTGTGTCTGATACCCAGATGTTGTATTAAGACGTAAGAAAACAACTTGTTCAGGCTTCAATTTTCGAAGAATCATATTATTAAATTCATCAGAAGGATCGCAAATCTCTATTTTTGTTTCATATTTATGCAATAATGGAAGAATATTAGTGGAAAATGCTTTGATTGCATCGTTTAATGTGAGATATTTGATTATTTTACGAAAGATTTTCGTTAAATTATCACTCTTGGTAAAGAAGTCGAATGGTTGAAACTAAATCAAGAAGAAATATTCGCATTTTTGATGACTCTTTCAATTTCTTAGAATTGTTTTTTTTTCCACACTTATTAAAGTTGATAAGACATTTAAAACAAAAACTCACTAAATCTTGTTCATTCTTATCACATTCTTCTTTGAAAACCGCCAATTCTTCCAATACAAGCACTTGACTAGCTTCCTGTTCTGTTCGTATCAAAGTGTTACCTTTGAACAATGACTTGAATTGATATTCTGATATAAACGAACCATTATTGTTCTCTACAAAAAGGCGCATGATTCCAATAAGCATTGGACATTGATCCATCGTAAAATCCTTGAAAAGTTCAATAGAGAACATTTTTTTCCAAATTTTTTCCAATCTAATAAAAAATAAATAAATAATTTCCTTACTAGCAGATATTTAACGCAATGTTGTTTCAAAAGATCTGATTTCATTCCGAGAAATAATTATGATTTATGGAAAAATCCGTTGTCTATTGAACGAATATTTTAGAATTTGATAAGCCCATGTTAATATTGACTTTTTATATTATGAAATTATAGTTCACTTACGTGCTTCTATTCGATTCTATAGTAACATCCCATGGCCATACAATATAATTTTCAAGTAAATAATTGATAATTTCTGTCGAACAGAATATACTTTTACAGAAGCTGTTATGGTACATGCTTTTATCATGATGTATATAGACAAGGACTGGACGACGCTAAATTAAAGTACATTTATATATTTTAGAAAATCACAAGAAAAGATCAGAACGAACTTCTTGAATCGCTGCTATATCAAATGCTGCTTTGCATGCCCCTTGAAGAGAACCCACATAGAATACTGGGCAAGCATTATAACGTCGTTGGAAAAATTTATAAAATGATTCAATGCCAACAATTTCGTTTTGATATTCTTTGGGAACTGTTAAATGATATATATCAGTTTTAAAAAAATAATCTCTTTTTTGTTATAAACGAAGGATAACTTACAAGGAGTAGGAGGAGTGACATAATTTTCATCATCAAACATATCATTGTCAGTTGCTTCTAGGTTATTATTCGCCATAGAAAAATGAATAGAATTGCTTTTAGACACCTCAATCTAGAACTAATCGATTGAAAATTTCGTCGCCAATGTAAATTTTGTTACTTTGGGAACATAAATTCAGTTTATTCAATAATACTAACCACAAAGTATATGAAGAAAAGAATCACGTAAAGAGGAAAGAACAAGATAGACAGACCAAAGGTAGAACGAACACACACATATATATATACATACAGGGTGGTGCAAAAGTCACTTTACCGAAAAAAAATTGAATATCTTCATTACGGTTCGAGAAAACGAGCTCATTTTTTAACAATGATAGAAGCATGTTTAAGCCTTATATCCATAAAGGTATTAATTAGAAACATCCTTTGTTAAGTATATTGTTTTTTACTCTATCTACGAAAAAGTAAAATTGTTTATTGATATCAATAGTGACTCTTAACAAAGGGTCCCTCTAGGCATGTCTTTATGGATATAAAGGTTAAATATGATTCTATCATTTCTAAAAAAATCAGCTCGTTTGCTCAAGCTGTAATGGAGATATTCATTTTTTTCGATAAATTGACTTTTGGGCCACCCTATATATATAAGCAAGTGGGAAGAAAAATACTTGTATTTGTCGAGCAACATAAAATACATGAAGCTTTTAGATAAAATTAATTTTGTATTTAACGACAACAAGTGAGAAAGATAAGGCAAAATTGACATACTCTGTTCTTATGTGTTTCAAAGGCATAGAAAAAAAAGTAAAGGATTTACGTACTTCTGTCCCTGTGCATTGAAAGGAAAAAAAGCAGCTTGTTTAAGAAAAGCAAATTGACAAAGTGTCTTAAAATAGATTTGTGACTATTTATTTTAAGTCTTTCAGCTGATTTGTTTCGAAAAAAATCAATGCTAATATCTGAATGAAGTTCTGTGCGATACAGGGTATAACATAATTATAGGGCCCCGTTATATATATGTACAAGAATGTTTATTTCATTTCAACAATGAATTATATTGATCTGCTACTGATATGTGTACATGAGACTATGCACGTACTCGTTCATACCCTGATCTCTATCTTTCGTATCTTCTTATTTGAAGAAAAAATTAGAGATAGCTGAAAAATGGCGGTAACATAATTATAGGCCTCGCTTTTCGAAAAACATGTTTTCTTTTAAGGCCCACTTCCCACTCAAAAATCACGATTTGCGTCGAAAAATTCGATTTTCCGATTTTACCGTATTTAGGTAGCCCCCAATGTCTACTTTTCAAAACACTGGTTTATTGGGTTTCTGTTGCTTTTCTATGGTTTTCTAGAGAGTTTACTGAAAATACGATAGCGACTTGTTTTTCAATGCTAAAATTTGTTTCGTGTCTTTCTTACAATGGATTTTTTTGTTTCTTATTGTTTGTATTTCAAAGATTTTTTCGGCCATTTTATATGCTTGAAATCTCGAAAAGGTCTTCAATCGAAGAGAACGTTGTGCTCCACAACTTAACAAAGCCGAATTTTTCGTTTTTGACTTACTTCTCGAAAAAACTTCATTCTTATCGGTAAGGTACCCCTAATTTTTCAGATTTCTTAAAGACCGTTCCCCCCCCCCTCCATTCAGAAAACCCAATTTCTCGAAAAAAAGTCGAAATTGAGTTTTTAGCATAGGAAGATAAACTGAAGTTACGTCTTTCGGAATATAAGGTATGGGAAAAAAGTTCGCGACATTTTCTTATCGATATTAATAGAAAAATTTCTAAGAACTTTTTTTTCATATAATATACTAAAAGATGCAGCGTGAAAAGCTCTACAATTTGCATANAAATTAACAATCGAGCAAAGTTGAGAAACAGCTCCAGAATACCGTGCTCAACATTTCCATCGAGAATGCATCTCATTGGTCCATTGCTGACCAATTATATTTTACCATATATGGATGCCCCTGGGCGTTTTCTTTCTAATGGTGAAAACCGCAGGTCTCTAGCTACATCCGTTCAGGAGATATTCCTCCTTGAGTTTTCTCCATCTACTTCTGGCGCCGACATTAGTATAGATAGTTCTGCAAAGGTTTTCTAGTTTGGGAAGAATGCTCAATCTCGACAAGGTTAGGTCACAATAAACGAAAATTTCAAAAGTGATCGTATCTTTTATCGAGAATATCACATAACGAAAGAAATTTTTATGCACTTTTCTATTTTCTATGACGTATTGAAAATTTTTCAATCAATACGCTATCAATAATTTCACGATATTGCTGTTTGTTTTTCTCAACTTATGGTTTTTTATCAAAACATTCTAAGGTGCTACTTTTTATTTGCGCTGTGAGTTCTTTTTTCCATTCAAAACATTAGACTATTATCTAGAAGTTGATGGAACAGATTTCTAAAATATGTATTCATTGCTCGGGTTCCTGAAAATCTTTCAAAGTGCTCAAAAACCTTTTTGTGATTTTCATTTCAAAATATCCACTGCAATTCATCAAAGATGAGTTTTAAAAATTTGTTTCAATAATCTATAGATTTAAATTTTTCCTTCATTTTGAAATAAGTTTCTAAACAACTCACACCTGATTGTTCTGGAAAAATTTTTCGAGCCCAAAGATCCGTTTTCATGAGTAGACTTTGCAGAACTGCTCAATGATCAGAAATGATTAATTCAAACTTTTATCATATAGTAGTTACATTACTTCTACAATTTTCGAGAAATTTTTATCGAAATCAGCGTTATGGTTTAGACAATATCATTTCTTTTGCTGCAGACTCCAGGCGTCAGTCAAAATTCATCTTTACCAATCTTCGTTTGTAAAGGTGATCTAATAACACAAAAGGTGACTTGGAGTTCGCAAAAACAATTAAGTGAATTGAAGAATTTTTTTTTATTTATTAGACTGATGTTATAGTTGTATGTTCATCATCGAAATTTTTATTTGAGAAAATTTGTAAAGCTGGTGGAAACTCTGTATTAGCTTCCTACAAATCTCAACTTAAAAAGTCTAAAAATTCTGTTATATCTGTTCAAGCAGACGGAGAACTTGCATCAAAACAAATTTACTTTCTTTCGTGGAAAGCTGATGCTGATGTATCTATTCTTCGTGAATCAATTGAGAACTTTGTTTCGGATGCTTTTGAAAAGGCAGTAGAAGAAAACCATCGAAGTATCGCATATCCAGCTATCGGTTGTGGTCAATTTGGATGTTCAATCGATCTTGTTGCACAGGCAATGATTCGAGAAGTGCATCGTAAACAACAAGGGCATGACATATCTGTTACATTTGTAATACAAGAAGCAAGAACCGATATTTATGATGAATTTCAAAATCAAATTCAGTTGTTGGAAGCCGAAATGTCACCGACTGATTTGAAAACAATGTCTGCAACAGTTAAAAAAGGAGTAATCGAAATTGAACAAGGAGACATAATCAAGCAAGAGGTATTTTGAAAAAGTAATATGCTTATGAGATTTCATTATGTTTATACTCATTTTTGATAGGTAGACGTTATTATTGGTAGTTCATCATCAGGATTCTTAAGACAAGCAATAACAGAGGCAGCTGGAAATGAAGTTCAAAAGGCTTATAAGAAAGAATTAAAAAATCATCCAAATTCTACACTAATCTCAGTGCCTTCAGGCGCTCTACCTTGCAAACAAATATTCTTTGTCAAATGGGAGCCTGATGATGATGAGGATATACTTCGACAGTCCATTGTTGATCTTATATCTACTGTTGTACAAAATGTGATATCACATAAGTTTACATCGATCGCATTTCCAGCCATTGGATGTGGGCTACATGGTTGTTCGACGCAAATTGTAATTGGCACGATGGTGCGAGAAATGAAAAAACATCTTGTGAAGAGAGATTTATGTTGGAAAGTAAAATTTGTAGTCCAACCCAATCAAGAGAATATTTATGATGAATTTTGTAAAGTGCTGATAACCCACGATGGTAAAACGAAAAGTTTCTTTAAATTGATTAAATTTGATCGTGTGACATACAAAACAAGTTCAGAGCTTCTCTATCAAAAGAAAAATTTGAATATCCGCATCATATTTATATTTCTTACTTATAGCAAATATTTAAGTACATAGTATTCGAATATAACAACTTTCTTGCTCTAAATTTTAGTTTTATTGTCGAACTTTGTACCCTTAGTTTCCAAAATCAGAAGATCAGTATTTTGTTGCGAATCAAACTTTTAAGAATAGTTGGTATGTAGCCTAGTACTGACTATATATTTAGATCGTACTATAGTTACAGCGTTCCGTTCATCAAGACCTCTTAATGATCAGCGCAGAATTGTCTCAAAAGTAATAGTCTGTATGAATTTATATTGAGTAAATAGTGAAATCTTGATCAAACTACAGAAATTTTAAAAGGATTCTGGCTAGCTGACTCTTCGAGTGGCTTCACTAAATTTTCGACTCATTTTTAATTGTTCACTTGAAAATGAACGAATTGAATGCCGACTTGAAAGTCGATTTATAGAGAAATCAACTGACTTTCAGAAGACCCTGTCCATTTTCGTAGAAAAGAATATTCTTTGGTCGAGCTATTGAATATCCAAAGGTAGGTATCTCTCATAAAAGTTAAGTTTGTGTCAAAATGCTGTATCTTGAGAAAGGAACATTCAATTCGAATTTTCTCAGAATCATTCAAGGGGAAAAAAGCAGACTTCTGTACTTCTCTCAATACTTTTTAGTACTTCTCAGTACTTCTTGGTACTTCTTAGTACTTCTGAAGTACAGAAGTCTGCTTTTTCTCGATTGGAATCATTACATCTATCTCTGGATCTAAATTCTAATAATTCAATTTTCAATAAATATTTAGAAATGGACCGAAAATTCAGCAAAACAGTTATAATTTAATATCAAACCTCCATAATCACTGCCTTTCTAGATTCGCTCTTGTTTCATCGAGATCTTCTTATGAACTAATATACATAAATTCAAACGGCGGCTTACAGTTATAGTAGTTCTGTTTCAGCGAAATGTTACCGTACTAAGTTATGTGAATCTAGATCACACCGGTCAAGTGAGCCGTTTCATGTTGTTGATTAAATTTAAACAGCAAATGATCTTGAGAGTACATATAACGAAATTATCGTAACTGCCTCTGAGATCATCCTTGTCTATATAAGAAAGCAAAACAATGTTTTGAATAGAATTTTAATTTCTGACTTTCAAATAAAATTCCCATTCCATTGCTGGTTTTGCATGACTACAACGAGCAAAACAATTAATCAAGCAATGATTTACATGTGAATTAATGTGAAAACATCAAATTTGACAACATACAAAATTCTAGGTAAATTAATTTTCATAGGTCTTCATGAATCAAACATTTATCAATTGCCGCCGACATGGGAGAAGTCGACAGAACATCAAATTCGATTCATAGTGCCCACCACAACAGATGAATACAAATCCATTGTTTCGAATTTCGATCAGACAATGACAGGAAAGTATACAGAAATAATACATATCGAACGAATTCAAAATGAACGATGGTATAAGCAATATGTCGCACATCGTGAAGATTTCATAAGACGTCTTGAGGAGGATACCGAAAAACACTTATATCATGGATGTCCTGAACAAGCTGCTAATTTAATTATGGAAGATTGTTTTAACAGAAGTTTTGCTGGAGTCAATGGTAATTTTAACTCTTGTTGTTTTGTAAAGATTTCAATCGTCTTTGTCTTTTTACGTTCAGGAACTGTTTATGGTTTTGGTGTTTATTTTTCATCGAATGCATCTTATAGTCATGGATTTGCGCATGCGAATGCAAATGGAGAACGGTGTATGTTTATAGCACGAGTTTTGGTAGGAAAAACCACCAAAGGAAATAGTTCGATGAAAACTCGACCACTTGGATTCGATTCTACTACTGATGAGAAGCATATTTTCGTCACTTATCATGATGCTCAAGCCTATGCCGAATATCTGATCACATACAAGTAAACTTCAAGCGAATAGCTCATCGACCTTCATAGACATGTTCATTAGTTTTACCAGAAAAATGTTTTTGAATAACTACGTACATGCTTTGTTAAAATTTATGTTTTAAATAACACAAACAAACCTTTACGATGAATTTTTTCGAAGGTAAAATTTGCGAAGTAATTGCTATAGAATAAACAGTGACCGATTAGTACGGTGTGTGGGTGTGAGTATGGTTGTGGACACTTAAGTTCTCATAACACATCCACACCCTCTTCTCAATTTAAATGTGATGAAGGCATTGTATATAGGTTTTATTCAGTGTGTGGTGATGGACAGTTTGTGAATTACTTTCTAGGATCAGATGATTATTATTATAGCTATTGATTTAACAGGTTCTTTTGCAAGTTTAAATGGAATTTCGTACTGTCCAAATATGAACAAAAATGGACACTTGAGAATGGTCATTGCATCGAGAAAGGTTGGATAGAAAAAAGTTTAACTAATATAGATGATGAAGAGAAGTGTGTGTTCTATTTTAAAAGCAAGTTAAGCGGTGGTTAAAATGATGGTTGCAATGATGCAACACGTTATTTTCGCTCCTTATGCCAATATAAAATAATTGTGTACCCATCCACATCTGTTTTTAAGCCATATGATCGAACAGTATATCAACTGTCTGAACTTCAATTTTCGATAAAACCAAAATATGTTTTGTTCAATGGCAATATCAAATGTATCGGTTACCAAGCACTTGCTAGAGCGTAACACATAAGCTTTGACTGAGATACATTTATAAAAGATTACCATTTCGATTCTTTTTTCTGTAAACAGTCTATAGAAAGAACAGCATCTGGTCCACAATTTGATCAAAACTGTTGGGATGACACAAAGCAGTCATTTATTTGTCAGAATAATCTTCAATGCATTTCCAGGCATTGTCTTCGAAATGGTATTAACGCCTGTAGTTATGGAGAAGATGAAATTGATGGTGACGAATATTGTATGACAAACAAACATCGTTTGAATTGTTCCGAAGAATCATCTAAGCGTTTATTGGTCTCATTACTCGGAGACAGTATTGCTCAATGCAACGATGTTAATGATGAATATATAACGCAATTGAAATTGAATGTAGTTGATCGCAAATATAGAGCAACAAATTCTATTGAGTGTGATGTTCTCAAAGTTTACGCTCAATCAACTTCATCAACGTTAACAACTGAGAGCAGCAAAGTCCTTCTATTTCACCAATATTGCGATACTCTGTGGAACTTGATAAGAGGTTTCGATGAATCTCTGTGCAATGACTGGAGATGTTCAAAGAATGAGTATCAATGCTTCAATGATCATTGTGTTTCAACAAACTATGTTTTCGATCAATATTTTGGAGAATGGCATTGTCCAGATGCTTCTGATAATGTCGGTTTTCTCAGGATTACTTACCTATCGAAGCATAATAATCAAACAGTTATTGATGTCTTTCGACGACAAATGAGAGACGCTTTTAATCGTGGCACGGTTCAAATTAAAAGTATAGCTTTTGATACATTTTGAAATTGTTGTGAAGAGTATGGTTATATATTAGCCTGTGTTAATGTTCCGCTAAATTTTGCTATTAATCGATCTTGTATCAATCTAACACAAATAGACGATGGTGTTATCAACTGTTACTGAGGATTGGATAAACGAAACGTATTGACATGTAGCAATAATTTGTATGAACAACATGGTTTCAATTTTCACTGCAATGATCAAGAATGCATGCCTTATCATCTTTTATGTCAACAACGGTGTGCAAATAATGCAGATAGCCTCCTCTATGATCAGTTACGGGTTGTTTTGGAACTCATCTTGCGGATACTTTACACGCACTATCCTCTGCTGAATATATGAATCATTGAAAGAATGCGATTAATTTCGAACTTGTCTATACTATTATGATAGACCGCGATACTGTAAGTGATTTATTCGTTTAAGAATAATTATGTAGATGAGCATATCTAATATAATAAGATTAATCTGCAAAGGTATTTCATCAGTATAATATAAATATGAATGAACCCTAGATGAACTTTTTTTTGCATGCGTGACCTGCGTAAACCTCAAGATTTGTCCATAGTACATGACTTTTTTGCTCAAGAAGCTCAAGAAACTCATGCATATGCGCAAGAACGTTTCACTAGGGAAACTAATTTTGAACTAGATTCCTGTCGAAGAAAATGCGATTATACAACCTAGGAAAGCTGCCTGTCTACATTTTTATGGACTTGAACATTGACCCAATTATGTATTTCCTAATATTTGGCATCCGTTGCGTACGTGACCGAGTGAAGAATCAAGATAACAGCTAATTGTCTACTCTAAGAAAATAGTCAATTTAAAGTTGAATCATAACCGAAAAGCTGTACCTTGATAGGTCGACATGTTAGATCTTTTAAAGTTTGATCCGAAGCTGCATATAGCCCGGCTCCAAAGATTAAGCTGGTTATGGATCCGACCATGGTCTGAAACAATTCATATGGAAAATAATCGTCCACCACGCAAGGACTTTATATGTTAAATGTATTCTAACGAGCTTCATGACTAATATATTTCATGCTAGGTTGTGCGCCAGTAATGTTCTTGTCCATTGTAAAAATCTCATGACCCTTTTGTTTCGTTTCAAGAAGCATCATTAACGACGTCTAGCAGCTTCTTTCGCATTCATCTGTGTAAGTTTTCCCTGCAAATAAATCTATGTCATTAGGCAACGAGTCCCTGTTGCCATAAATCATTATTATTAGTTCAAAGTAAGACAACGGTAATATATGCAAAAAAAACAAGGATTGAAGCTGATGTTCAAATGCCCTTCGATTTTATGATCAAGCATTGATGAAATGATGATCGACAAACTCTATTCAGTCTTCTGAAATATTTGTTGATTTGTGTAGAATAAAACGCGAAATTTGATGAATAATTAGCTTTCAATCGCATACTCGTGAATGGTGAAGAACTGATTGGGACATATGTCGATAATCGACTTATTTTCACTGATATGATAAAATAAGTACGATGATATCGATTGGATTTTCATTTAGTAGACGATGATTTTAACTTGAAAAAGATACTATATTAGAAGTTAATAGGCACCTTTAGAGCAAAACTAACAATAATCCTGTCCGAGACATGGAGGATGTATCATCAAATCCGTTATGTTTGAACTTGCAATGAGATGAGGCTCTAACAGAAGAAAATAGTTGAGAGCAAACAGAGGAGAATCTGTAGACTATAAAGAATAACTTTTCTTTTTCCTCATCACATGACTCTCAGAAACATCAGACAAGATAGTAGCGATTTTGTGGCATTAATTTACATTAACTATCGTTCTCAGAAAAAGGTAGATTATCTTGAGTCACATTTCGCTCATCGATGTTAGATATTTTTGCATCAATCTTATGCAGTTTTATCATCAGAGTGGCGTGATGCAGCCAAGATTGTGAGATGGTCAACTTTTCTCTGTCATAGTAGTTGACTGGTCAGCTTTGTCGAGAGAAGGGGGCGGTTAATGAACAAAAACATACAAAAATACTTTTACAACATTTTGGTAGTTACCCCCCACCCGCTCGCGACATTCCTATTTATCCTCATTTTTCTTATAATGGCGTCGACAAACATAATTCAATATGTCATTTTCTTCTTATATATTCAAGTGGAAGAAAATCAATTTTGGAAGGTTCTTTCTGTTATAAAACGTTTTACTTGTTGACTTAATGGAATGCTGTGATTCGTGCTCGTATACCACTCTCCTATCATTACTCACTGATGACTATTCAATAAGCAATTCATAGTAGTCAATTGACAATACGAGACGAATACCATAAAATATACAATGTAATTGTCTAACATGTTTTTTACTCATTCTTTTTTCTACCTGTTCGTATGTTTTTTTTTCTCATTCAATAGACGATACAAAGCGTGAAACCATTTTCTATAATAGTCAGTCGAATACACAAACAAAAACATTATTGCATCTCTTGAATATTCTCGTAGATTCAGTGATTCAATTATGGCCGATTCCAGTGAATCGGAAGGTCTCTATCTACATATAAGTGAACCTGGACGGGCTACTGTGTCATTTCCGAATGATAAAGAACAGAAAACACTCAATTTAGCCGGAACCGATTTGGCAAAATCATGTAGTTCGGTCAACATATTCTGGTCCTATCCAACAGGTTTGCTGACACTGATCATTGAAACAGCATACACTAAAAAACAACAATCTTATACTATTCATATCGATAATGAACACTTGAGTGCGTCTATTTCGAATGTTTATCAAGTCATCGATGATGAAGAAATCGAAGTCACAACCAACGATAAAAAAATAATACTCAATTCGGATTCAAATTATCAAGTAATCATCAAATTTCAAGGTCCGCCAGAAATGAGAACCTATGGTGTCTCTATTAGTTATGATATCATTCCAAAATAATAATCAAAATAATACTCTATTGGAGAAAAAAATGAAAAATTCTTTGGATCTCTTATTCACAATTCTTACATACATATCTATCTATGTTGCAGTTGACATTGTGCAAAATATTAGTTTAAAACATTTGTCATCGGATTTTTTTTCTCCTATAAATAAACAACAATCGATTTATCTATTGTGAAAATCTTTGAAGACACGAAGACGTTGATTGTTAGTGATCGTTGTAGAAGTTTGGTGTGTTTATAAATCAATTTCATGCATCTAGACCAGGCTAGAGCTTTCGGTCTTTATGCGCTGTAGCTTCACTTATTCGTCCATTTGCCCCACTCTAGAGTCGTAACTGACCATCTAAAACTGTATTATTCATAGAACATCGTAATCATCTTTAATAATACTCTTCCTATTAACTTTCTCCTTCAATCGTTCTTATTCATCTTGTCATGTCCTTTGCTTTCTTTTCAATGCAAAATATCTGTATTTGTTTACTTGTGTCATTAAAAGAGAAACTGTTTTTTGATTGCTATCGATCATATATTTGTAATTGTCTCTTGCAGTTTTTGTAGAAAAAAAATAACTCAAATTTGCCAATTTTTGCATGTTTATACTTGTTCAAGGTATTCTGTTTTATATTGTATTGCAACGATCAAGAAAGAAAAAACAACAAGTCACATGTATTCACCTGCTGCGAATAAAATGACGAGTAAGATTATTCATAGAATCAGTAAGAAATATGTAACAAAGAATGCATGTTTGACCGTTGTTTGATTTATTCGTTTTTTTTCTCTTACAGATAATTATCAAAGGCGTGCGGTATAATGTGGAATATTAATATGGAGTAATTCATGTTTGTCATGCGATAAAAAATGTTGATAAAGATCTTGTTCTTGGTTATATCAAACGAGGAACCAGTATGAATTATCAGATTAGTGTCGATGATGTTACAGCATTGATTCGTGCTTGTAATGCCAATGCTGTTGATATGGTTAAACTATAATTTGATCATGTACAAAAACTCGATGTGAATTTAACCGATCAACAAAACCATTCAGCACTTGACTATCGTTGTCAATATATATGATCGAAATGAAATTGTTCGTTCGCTTCTTGAATAAAAGAAAATCATCGTCAAATTCTATTCCATTAAAAATGAATCGCGAAGTTTAAATACGTACAGATATTCTCAAAGAATTGATTGATCAATATAAAATTCAGGACAATTTATTGCATCATCTTTTATGTGCTCTGGTGAGAAATGCTGCATCATTATCACTCTTTCAATATGTACTAGGGGAAGAAATCAATCGTGATGTTTTAGATGGTGAGGTCTTTCTTTGGTGTTACATGCATCTATTCTCATGGTCGCACGACACTCATGCATACAGTTGAATTGCAAGCACTTCAAATTTTTTAACTATTACTTAAACATGGAGCTGATTATTGGCGAGTTCGAGAACCACTCGATATTATTGTTTACATTCGAAACTGTGTAATACGGGGAAAAATTTTAAGAACAAAATACCATGCTAACATTATTTTTCTCTAAGTTTTTGCTACTTCAATCGAACTGGCTGTTCTCGAAGTTGCCTTTTATTGTGCTCTAGTCAAACAAGAATCCATAAGCTCCTTAAGATGACGTGTCTGTCTAAGGCAGTGCAGCATGCAACTGGCGAGATTCCTCACAGTAGGAGAATTGTCGTAGTCATTGTTTTTTTCAGACATCGCTCAAATAATATCTTCGAATGATATCATATCATTCAGATCGGAGAAGTATTGCCATCGAGGTCTGAACCATAAATTACTTCAATCGATAGAGAATAATTTCTATGATCAAGACATAGTTAGTATTATTCTACAGGATCAATAGGTATCGAATCGCTCTCAATGTTAAGAGATACTTTATTTTACAATCGTTTTCATTCGAGTGCTACGAACAATAGATCGTATAAAATATCCATGAAATGCTTAGATCTCTGATGAGATAGCAAAGTGTAAAATGAAAGTGCCATGCCCAATTGTGATCGGCATATGAATTATGCAACGAAGAACGAGTTTTAATTCAAAAATAGTTCATATTGAAGAATACTTTTTCTTTTCATACTTCTTTCTAGGATCTTTTTTTTTCGCTCAAATAAATCTGAATTTTCTTGCTTCTCTCTTGTGCAAATCATTGGTATAAAGCATTTATTCTTTGTAAGCAATATAATTTGAAGTCAACTATCGAAGCAAAACATAACTAACAAGCTCGAGACAGTATATTGCTGCAGTTCCGTGTACTTTGACTTGCCAATCCTTGAGAATGACATCCAAACGATTTATGTTAAGTATTCATGCATCACTTCAGATAATTTAATTGAAACAATAAATTTTCCCTTTAAATCTAACTTCATGAAAACTTGTCGAGCCGATAATGATGAGCGAAAAAACAGAAAACTGATCGATTTGATACTCTCAAACCAATGCCAGTCTTTCATAGCTCGGTATGTATGACGTCATACTGGCAATACCTGTTCAGCAGGTGTAACAAGTTCACTCATACCAATCACAGTAACGACCATGACAGATCATCACGCGTGACACCACTAGAACAAGTGAGTGTAACAGTTACCATAGTGATGTCACGTGTACCGAGCTGTAACAGACTGATATGGGATCGTTTCTCAAGAACCAAATTCACCATCATATTCATGCAGATATATAAAAACGAACACACTGTAATCATATGATGAATAGTTCTATTTAAATCAATAGACAAAGAAATAAAAAATAACAACAATTGTACAAACAATACTATAGCCTTTAGTTGGATTGTCTGATCGATGTGCGCATTTCATTCTCTAGAAAAATCATTAAAACAATAAGAAAAAGTATACTGCAATAAGTCATTAGGAGACTTTCGCAAGACATTTGTGTGTTCTTGCTTCTATTTTGTGAAACACGATTGGTATAAATCGCCATTCAAATCACCCTGTGAGTCGCGCGAGATATGTCTGTTACAACCTGTGATACTGGAAGGCATTTTCAAAGTTGTACTCTTAGATATATAGTAAGAGAATTTGCATATTTTAACCTCTTGCTTAGGAATGAACCATTGAGTCATTTGTCTCGGATGTCAGTTGATTTGTTTCATTAGGTTTTTAACTTGATGATTTAGAAGAAATATCTGATTGTATTCTGTGTTTATTATTGTTGTCCGAAAGATTTAGTATTCATCTTTTTATCTCATTGTTTATTCAACAGTCAAATCAGTTTAGATGGCTCGTATCGTCTATATTTTTGCGGTGACAAATCTAAACGTATTGAGACGTTGATTACAAATATTAAGCACTAATGAGGACGTTCACCTTTGGTGATGTCATTTTCGACATGAATGACTGATCTTTATTGACATCTTTGACTCTTTCGTAGTCTTCTATTTCTTGAATCGAAGGAGAAAAATACGCTGTTTCTTGGATGTTCTATTATGAGTAAATGTTATTTGAAAAATGCAAATTTTGATATTAAAAAAGAAAAACTAAGTTTTATTTCAATTGCGACAAAAATAGTTACATCTCAATTCGATGAACTTCGGATAGCTGCTAACGATATCGAAAAGCCATTCTTTTGCCATCGTGGTTTCGAAGTCAGAACTTTTAGAAGGAATTTTCTCGCTTTCAAGAATGTAACAAGCAAATTAGAGCATCAACTGTGATCGAAATAATATAGTTCGATATCGTCCTATATTCTTGGAACAACTAAAACAGTGACAACAATAATTGTGCATTTTATTTTGCTATTAAAATTCCATTGCCTATTCAATAGTTTGAAAGAACTGGGGTTTGAGTGTGGGTGGGTGCGTGTCAGTACAGGTGTATGGTTCTTCTTATCACCCACACCTATTGACAAGATTTTCGGGTATTATCACATGATACAATCTAATTCAAAATAGAAACAGATTCAAAATTTCATTTGAGAAACTCGACAATGTATTTAGTCAAATATTTTCTCGAGAGAAATGATCATCCTAGTATTAGCATTCAAAACTCTACATTTTCATTCGATTGTGATCAAATGAATAGCCTACAGTGTTCATTCTGGGAGAAGAAAGTTTTGTCTACAGTCATTTAATGTAGAAATTCTAATAGGACAAAATATTTTGCTCTATCTCCTGCTTTTTTCCTGTTTCCTACGATGCAACAGGACAAGATAAAGAGAGCATGAAGAATTTTAATGAAATCCTCAAGATGGATTTTAAATAACGTACTTTACATCGAAACACACTAGATTAAGACTTTAATGATTGTGAGAGTTGGAAGAACTCTTAAACGTAAACTTCAAATACAGAAATACTAGGAGGAGATATGTGATATTGACACATGCACATGCCCACGAAAGAGTGACAGTGATGTCAAATAATGGCGCGCGTACAATATCAGTAAGAGATGGTAGAATTGACACAATCTGTGCAGTCGTTTGTCTTAAAGACATGTGCTTTGCAGTGGACCGTTTTCCTGTTCAATTTTGATGAGAATCGTGCTGAATTTCACGACTTATTCCAGAGCAACAGTAGATCGTAAACTCAGGTCAGTATGAAATTTAGTTATTCTTTGGTAAAAGAGGTCACAAGATTTAAGGTAGGCGTGCCATACGATATACTCTCTTGCTGTATATATAAAACTAGCGAGAACCCGTGCATACTGCACGGTCTTTTTTTATCAATGAAAGAAGTCTTTTCTTTTAGGGTAAGGGGTTCTTAGGGATACAATCCAAATCTTTATTTCTGTTTTATAAAAACAGCTNTCCTCTGCTGGTCTATTATTGATATTGTGCACAAATTTGATTAAATTTTCCAATAATACTTCCGATGCTATTCCCGGATACATTTTTTGATAACAATCGTCGGCTAATTCTCCTTGAACGATTTCATCTAAGAATGAAGAAAAGAGAAAACGAGCATTATGTTTGTTTCGCATATATTCTTCTTCATTTTTTAGGCCTTACCATAACTTTTGTAGTTTCCGTCA